AAAGGTAATCAAATTTTATTTTTAAAAATATTTTCTAAATAAATCTTAAGATAAAATAAAAAATTTTAAAACTATTTTAACCATTAATATCTATTGATTAATTATTCATTCGTCTACACGTGAGTAGGCTAGACAAGAAAAAACGAATCAAGCAGTACACATAGTTTCACGCCTACTGTGTAGTTAGCATTTTTACATATGTTATTCCGATTCAAATTTCATAGGATTTTTATTTTTTAAAAAGAAAATCTTTATATTTCATAGTTTTCTTATCGAATTTATATCATAGAAATAAATAATTATACTTAATATTACAGTAAAATTTAAGTTTATAATTTCTATATTGTATATTGTAATATAATCAATAAACGACAATTCTAATTTACAAAGTATGTAAGTTTTATTTTATTTTTTTTGATAATTCAATGATCATAATATTTGCTACTAGTTTATTTTTTTCACTAAATAGAATCTTATACAGAAGATTAGATAATCTATAGATTATCTTAACCATAGTTATGAGTTGAATATAAGGAATGTCTGTAGATATGTTATGTCGCATTTGAAATGACTAAATACAAAGCATAAGACTTGAACATTGAACTTTTGAGTACTTATACAGAAATTTCATAGTCTATGAAGAATTATTCAAAAGAATAAAAAAATATACTTGACATTTTGGTTTTTTCAATAATTGTAAATTTATTATTTATGTGTATTTGCTTTTGTTTGAATGTCTTAGTCGGTTAAATTGAATAAGAAATAAAAGAATATCTTTGTTTTACTACAATAATATAGAGTAAATTAAATTGAATGAATGATTTCATTTCATAAATTATATATATATTGTCATTGTGATGTTCTTTCAATATATTAAATGAAATGAAAGATGCACATAGTTTCTTTTATATGTTAAATTTTTAATATATCGAATTATAATGTTTGATTATATTATAACTTTTTTTCTTCTATGAATAATAAAAAAATTTACTTTTATGAATAAGATCATGAATTTCTATGGTTTAGAATTGAAAATATTTATAGCAAAAAAGAAATAATATGAATTAGATATTCTATTTATTAAATTTATTCAGAATGAAGTGTATTGCAAAAACAACAAGATTTTCATTTATTTCTTTTTTATTTTCACATACAAGATAGATTATAAATAAGAAAAAAGAAAATAAAGATTAAAATAATTCCATTTTTCAGTTTCATCAATCAGGCTGATTCTTTTTTCTCTATTAATGATAAAGAAGCCTATTTAATGTTTTCTTTCATATGACTAACATAAACAATAACTATGTTGAAGTATGATGATTGTCGTCAGTAAAGCAATGCAACTTGTTGTTAAGTAAGAAAAATGTATAGAATAATGTCCAAATATAGTCAAGATGGTTCCAGTCTTGAGACTCAATTTTGTTTCCCTACCAGGATCAACACACTTTTCATTAGGAGTCATATATTTTATGGTTGTATAACGCTTGCATCTAATGTAATGGATTTCAAATGATTATGAGCAAAATGGTTCCGGTCGTGTCTAAGAATGATCTGCAGATAATTTTCACTTCTCCACTAACATAATTATAAGAAGAAATTAAAACAAAATTAATTAGTGTTATCACATATTGATCGATATAGAAGAAAATTTTCGAACTGATTAATTTTAAGAATATTTTGTTTTTTGAAATTTAGATTTTTTGTAGACAAGTTGATGAATCGATTCCTGAAGGCTTTTATTAAATATTTGGATTAATGAAAATGTATTTAAAAGTTTAAGGGAGATAGCCCCCTTAACATACCCTCAAATTTTGTCAGTTTGTAGGGTTGATCCCTAAGAGTCTAGAGTTAAAATATTTCGCGGGTTGGATATTCTTTGGTCGAGTTAGAAAAATTTCAAAATTTGAAAAAATTGTTTTTTCCAACTATTTTGATGTTAGTGAAAAAAGTAATTCTTGCTGAGTCCCCTACTCTTATAAAGCCGGCGAAAGAAATTTTTTTTATGAAAACTTGTTCCTGGATTCACATCTATGGGATGACATATTTTTCTTCGAAAAAACAATAATGTTTTTCTAGTGCTGAAAACCTCAAAATGTTTGAAGTTGACTCAATTGTTTCATGAAAAATGAAGATTCTGTAGAAGTTTCAATTATACGCCTTAGCTTGATTAGTTTTCAATGAAACTTTGTGCGTAGAAGTACCTATCTACCAGGTATACTACTTCCAAATTTCGAGACAATTGTATGCTGCGTTGAGGAAATATTAAAAAAATATTAAGTCTTGAAATTTCGACGGAAATTACACTATAAACAAAAACACAAAAAATAGCTAATTTTATTATTAAAACTTGTTCTTTTTTACTAAGTTTATATAGATTCTACCTAGTAAATAAATACTTCTGCAAGCAAAGTTTCATTGAAAATTAATTATGTTAAGGCGTATTATTGAAACTTCTATAAAACCTCCATTTTTGATGAAATAATTGAGTCAACTTCAGAAACATTTTGAGACCCCTCGCGTTAGAAAAACATTATGTTTTTCAAAAGAAAAATATGTCATCCCATAGAGACGAATCCAAGAAACAAGTTTTCATGAACAAAATTTCTTTCGAAGGCTTTGTTAGAGTAGAGGGCTCAGTAAGAACTACTTTTTTCGCTGACATCAAAATAGTTGGAAAAACCAATCTTTTTAGGTTTTCAAATTTTTCTAACTCGACCAAAGAACATCTAACACGCGAAATATTTTAACCCTAGAACCTTAGGAGTTGACTCTACAAAGTGACAAAACATGAGGGTATATTGGGGGGAGGGGTACTCTCCTTCGCACCTTAAATTGATTGATTCGAAAAAAGTTTGCATCACTGTGATATGCTTAGTTAATTCTATCTTGATCTGTTTCTTATGATTGCCTTAGGTAATAAATGGAAATTATTTCTGGACCATTCCCCATGATTTTTTTCTTACTAAACAACAAGTTCTATTTCTTTATTGAAATCCAAAATAAAAGACATTTTAAAATAGATCTCTGTATTTTTATAAAAAAGAGAATTCAGTCGATTTAATTGAATCAAAGTCGAGACATTCCTATTATTTATAGTCTAGTTGTTTATGGTTTATCCTATTTATGATCTAATGAAGGTGTGTGACTTTTCTAAAATGTAAGATCTTTTCAATTTTTTATATTAACTTATTTTCGCACATCACAAGATTCTTATTAAAGAAAATACAAAAAATAATAAACATTGTCTATAACATACGAGTAAATACAGTCTCTCGTTTTTATTCTTAACCATAATATTATTATGCATTTCAACAATATTGATCTGTTTTATATATCTGTCAAATTATATTACTAAAGATATTCATCATTCGATGAATAATTCATTATGATTGTCAGTAGAATATCAAATATTTGACGCAATAAATTTGAAGGTGTTATTGAATAGAAAAATAAAATGTCTTCATTTTTTCTCATTATTATTAACATCCTTTTTAATAAAATTGTGTAGGTTTTTCTTTTTTTTTAAAAGATGTCTGTTTAATGTTAAACACCATTCTGCATGATGTCACTTCCGTTTTCTTTTCCTTCATATATTCATGATTCTCATTTATTTTTCCACATTAATGAATAAAAACCTACATATAGCACATTCATGCCTTTTGTCTAATACTTATTCTTTCAATAAGTACGAAGAAGATAAAAAAAAAATCTCTCCAAAATTTATGCCAATAGTTATTATGTTCGTTATGCAGTCATGAATATATACTACGAACTCATTTACTTCGTGCACATAAATTATCATTTCTTTTTTTCTTCATCTTCTTCTTCTAATATATGATGGCTACATCAGAAAAGAGATAATAGGAAAAAAAGACTCTCTGTGATTCTCTTTCTTTTCTTTTCAAGTTGTATATTTAAAGTACTATTTCACCTGATTTACCAGAAATCTTTTTCTCTACTCAAATAATGATGTGCGCCGTCTGGGAGTGATGTAGAAGTCTAGCAGTACGACTGAGATCACGTTCATTATCCGTCTTTTTATTTTTACAAGATGATGACGACAAAAGAAAAAAAAAAGAAATCGACAGAAGGAAAAAAGTACGAGAAGGAGGAGCAAAGACACACTTAGGCACGCGTGAATGTGCGAATTGTGTCTATCCTTTGTATTTTTTAGTTGATAGTCTTTATACTTGGAGCTTTTCTTTTGTAGGTTAAAGAATGAAGAAAAAAAGAAAAAGAATACAATGTACGCCACAAACTAATGTTCAGGTGTGTCTAAGGTAATAGTTAGAAGATAGCATTAACCATGCGTAATAATATCTTGTTTATATTCTATATGCCTTTTTTTTGTTTATGTCAGATACAATGGTGTGTATATGTATGTTTATTAGGTTAGAAAAGAAAGGTTAAGCTTAACTATTGTTTTTCGACTATATTGAAATTCCTTTTTTTTATTTTTGTATTTTTGGCATTGCCTTGAATTTTTGCCATTTATTTACTCTTTTCTGTTTCTTTTTTTATGAATGTTGAAGTACTATTTGACAAAAATAACAAATGTTTTTTTTTCATTTTTTTTGTATTCGATCCTTTTTTTTTTTTTTTTGTCTTTCGTTTTTACCATCATCCGTGCATACACAGTAAAAGAAAGAGGAAAAGAAAAACATCGACCGACATGTACTTGATGCATTTACTTTATTAGTCTTGCACGTGTAGGATTAATTTGAGTTTTTTTGTAGTTAAAAACGTAAAATTGATAAGTATTGTAAAATGTTTTTTAGATGATCTATTATCCAAGACAATTGTATTATGTCGAATAAAAGAAAAATTAAGTAGATTAATAACTAAAAAGAAAATAACAAAAAATTTTATTAATAAAATCATTAATCGATTGATCTTTTAATTGGTTTTATATTAAAATTTTTATTTGATTGTTCACAGAAGGTATTGAAACGTGTGTTAATAAAAACAATAAAAAAGGCAATGCGGCAGCCGTTGCCGTAATGTCTGATGGAAACAAATGTAAGTAAATATTTAATTTTTTATCATTTCCATAAATTTTATGAAAAAAAATCGAAAATATTGTTTTAGTTGCCGGATCTGCATACGCACAGCAACATCAGCAAGATAAATTACCATTTGAATCAATGGGAAATGTATTGCTAGATGCGATGCAGGGCATACTTGTTTGTCTTGACAATTTTCATATTATTATTGGTGTATCAAAAACAGTTAAACGTTGTTTTGGTTTTGAACAGGTTAGTTTTAATTAAGATAACAAAAAAAAAGATTGTGCGTTTTTACTTTTTCTTCTTTAGACAGAACTTGTTGGTTTATCAATTTTATTACTTGTTGAAGACAGCGAAAGAGATTCATTTTTAAAATTTCTTAATAGTCCGCCACAACGTAAGTTATATGAAATCGATTATATGTATCAACTTTGTGATACTCAGAATGAATTTTATTATGAAGAAGAAATATGATTTCGTACTATTTTATAATGCCTTGATTTACTTCGAGCTATTATATTTTACGCTATTCTACCTAAGGCTTTCCTGATATAACTCTAAGACTGAAATCTTAGTATCATGATTATAGATCATACTCGGGTGTTTTTTTGCTGACTAGTAATACAAAGATAAAAAATATTGCCGATGGTGTATTATAATGAAAATGATGGGTAGATATACAATAAGACAAGTTTTTTATAAGGAAAAATAAAAAGCTTAGAGTGGAAAAATACTGATTCGAGGGCAGTTTAAAGAAAATATTAGTCAAAATAGTTGAAATAGAAATGAAAAACTCAGTGAATGACATACAATCGACTCAAAGAAAAAAAACAGTTGGAATCAATTGAATTCTTCTATTTAATTAAGTAGCAACAAGCTGATAAAAGTTCATTAATTCGCTTCTAGAGATCGATTGTTAAAAGAGAAAGAATCCTGTTGGATCGAAAATTTTCTAAATCTAATCTGAACTCGGTTGGATCCGGAACCAACTCGACAGGTTGTATCGAAGGCAAACAACTTTTTCTTCCTTTCTCCTTTAATAATCAAAATATTATTGTATAGAGAAATGTTCGTTGAGTTTGCTTTCGCTGATGTCATCATTTATTTGTGTAAAACTTCCTATGGGTAGAAATAAAAAAAAGTATCTATATTTAAATTTGACAAATTGAGAAAAAAAAATTGAACAAAACCCCAAAATAAACATGTTGCACATGCTCATTTAATGATGCTCTCTAACATGTCTTTACTAATGAGCACATCCTCTTTTGTCTTAAGAGAACTTCAAAAATTTTACATGTTCTCTTAATTCTCATTTATATAGTAATTGATCAATCTTAACACACTGAGCACTTGTGATGCACTAAGAATGTAAAACTGAACAATTCTACTTCAAGATCACGTTTCATCAATTCTAGAACTTTCAAGAATTGTTTTTTTTTTTCGACATAATATAAACGCCGTTTGGCGACACATTTTAAATCATGACAGACAATTTTAACTATAATATTTGTTGCAAGCTGTCGATCACCATTTGAGAGATAATACAGAATAAAAACAAACAAATCGAATCGATTAGTTTTAATGCGAACAATAAAAAGAAATATTGGTAGAATATGTATAAAACCCAATCGATCAAAAACTTGAATGAAATAGAACTGACATCTAACGAACTGATCACAATTTTCTTGTGATATTCAGCCTAATAAAATTCGATAAAATAAAACTTCAATCAATCGACAACTCGGCGAGTATTGTAAACCTATTTTTTAGCTGTTCTGATGCATTTGGAACTACTTTAATATATGTTGATGTACATGGTGCGTAAAAATGTTTTTCCAGCGGGTGGTCACACTGTAATTTTCAATAACATCAACAGCAAATTTTATGCTAAATTAAAGCGCATCGAAAATGAAATTCATTACTTCTAAACAGTAAGGCATTGTAGCAACTTTTCAATCTCAAATTCAGGACATTCCTAATATTTTACATTATATTAGCAGAGAAATATTTCTTTCATAAGGTAATTAAAACTAGGTCTCATTTAAAACAGTTCAAAGACAGAACAAATACGAACATAAGATAATTTCAAATAGATTAATGTTTGTTAAAACAATAAAATATGTATTTTTTTTAGAGTTTCTTCATCAAAATGATTAAATGTCGTCTGTGATAGTCATTTTCTTCAGCTTTATTTTTTTTTAACTATCGTTCCAATATGTTTAGATCAAGTATTCGTTATTTTGTGATATTCATTATTTGAGATTTAGTTTGAACCATCTCATGAAAGGAATTTTTCTTTACTAATATGGAGTAAAACTTTAACAATTTTCTCAATTCGACATTGAAAAGTTAACATAATTCTTGCTATCTTGTATGGATGAATTCGATTTTTGACGTGCTTTAATTTAGTGTAAAATTTTTTGTTGATGTTATTTGAAATTATAGCATGACAATCCGTTGCAGAAAAGAAACATTTTTATGCACGGTATGCTGTTAATTGTAATTACTTTTGTACTTTAACGAATCTCAGACATAAAAGTACATCATGATCTCTAGTCGAGATTTTCAGACAATCACGATATCTAATGATACAGTTTTTTCAAAGAATATAATCTTCTTATAGAAACTATTCGTTTTTTTTTGTTTAATGAAAATAGATCCATAATATTCTTCCATTTCACTCTATTTTATGTATGCAGTTTATAATACATTATGTATTAGAACTGAATATTCTATATATTTCATGACGAAAAAAAAAACCATCGGAAAGAAAATTGTATACATTTTTAATAAGAATAGTAGAAGGGTTTATTTGGAAAGTATAATATTTCCGTTAATTCTTTTCTGTGAAATATAATAAAACATAATGGAAAAGAATGAGATGATTATGAAATAAAGAAGAACGTATATTAACATATTAGAAGAGTTTCTAAAATAAAAATGTAATCTAATAATTGAACATGCTTGGTTATTTTTACTCTCCCTCTCATAAAGATTAATGAGGTCATTTTTACTACATTAAAAAGATGATATTTGATCAGATGTTTTAAACATTATTTAAGTCTATCAAAAATCGAATTCAAAACTTTGAATTGTTCTGTTCTTTTTTTTGTATACTTAAATACATACTATGAATCTATAAAATTATATAATTAAAGTATCAAAAATGATTGTTTAATCGTTCATTTTTCATTATTTTGTTCGAAGGTTCTTTTTTTTTTTTTTTGGACGAAGTAAAATAATTAAAAACGGAATTAGTTGAAATGAATTAATTTTCATTTCTGATCAACGTTATTGATCTTTCAAAAACTGGTACACTGCATATGTATGTTACTCGTGTTAAGTCATTGAGCAATGTCCATAAGTACACATTAAGGGACCTGAACAGGTCCAGAACGGGAAACCTCTTTGTAGGTTGTCGGCTCCACAAGGATTAATGTTAATTTGTCCTAATTTTTGATAAAGTCTTCTTTTTAATTATAACTCTGGTTTTATATCTCAATTTCAAGAAACATAGAATTATTCTAAAGACTGAATATTTTAGAACATCTAGTAAATTATTCTGTTTAAGAACAATATTGATTTTGTATTGAAGAAGTCATTAGTGTTATTGCATTTGTCTAATATGATGATGCCGAAATTTGACCAAAATATGTATATTTTGGATAATGTGATTTAATAAATGAAAGACGTTTACTTCAACATCCATCAATAGTCCGGCTAGAATTGATAATCATCATATTAGGCAAATCAATGTTTTATCCAGCGCGATGTCTCTCCGAAGATTGAATCGACCGTTCCGAAGTTTTAGATCGTCCTTTCGAAAGAGAAAAACTTGGATGCAAGAGCATTACAATTAAAAGCAAGAATTTATTAAAAAATTGAAAAAAATTGTCCAACCAATAAAAGAGAGACTTTCAAACAAAAATTTAAAAATCAACAATCATTTTCGATACTTTGATTATATAATTGTCTAGGTTCATAGTGTATATTTTTCACGTACAAAAAAAATCCGACATAAATCATTAATAGAACACGAAAAGCATCATTCAATGTTTTCCAATCATTTGTTATATTCAATAACTATCTCGTTTTTATTTTTATGTGAAAAATAAACAAAAATCAATATTCTTATATTTTAGCTAATGATATATATTATGTTCGTATGATGACAAATAATACAAATGAATATCGTCAAGTTAAAATTCATCGACAGAAAAAATTAAATCCTGATAACGCTAGTATGAATTTAAAAATTTTATTTCACTGTTTTTTTTTTCTTTTTTTCTTAATTTCCTTCAAATTATTGTTTCTTTAATAGATGTTCATTCAACTACAACAAGACATAATTATCCTGTAGTTACAATACTTATAATAACATTAGAAGATTCGTCTTATATTGATATAACATTACAAGATATTCATAAACAAGAATTTTATACAAAAATGAATTTAATTGGTGAAATTATTTTTGAAGATCATCGTGGTGCTTTAATAACTGGTTATTTACCACATGAAATACTTTCACAATCAATATTTGATTTTGTTTATTATGAAGATCGTTTAGTGAAATTACATGCACTTTGGAAATGTAGAACAAAAAAAAAAAAACAACAAATTTTTTTTTTGAAAATAAATATTTGATTTTTATGTTTTAGGTGTAACAACCGGTTTAAGTAAATTACAATGGCGTCTAAATGCACGTGATGGTTCATTAGTTTTTCTTCAAACTGAATATAAATTAATATCTGATCATCAAAATCATGATATAATCATAGCTCGAAATGAAGTTTTAAAGTAAATTATAAATAAATATCTATAATTGTTTTTATTTTTCTTATGAAATATGATATAAAAGATTAATTCTCTCTTTTATAATTTGTATTTCATACATTTTTTAATCTCGAATATCTTGTACAAACAACTTTTTATTTTATTAGTCCAATGCAAAAATCACAATTTGATGAATTACAAACAGCTTGGAAACATCAATGTGCTGCTGATATTAAAGGAAATAGTTCATCATTTAAATTTCGTAAGTTAAATTTGTGTTTTGTTTTTTTTTTTGGTTCAATATAATTGTTTTTATTTTCTGTTATTTTAGTTTCATCATCGGATACAAATTCATCATCAGCATCAAATGGTCAATGTCGTATATGTGTTCCATCATTAAGTATGTGTTTTACAACAGATAAATTACAACCATTAAATTTACAAGGAAATATATTTGGTGTATCAAAATTAGCACGCCCATTAACCATACAAGATTATATACAAATATTAATGGATAATGATAAACATATGGATGGTGAATTAGCAAATATGATTAATAATATTCAATCCTTAACAGCATGTTATAGACGTTTAAATGATAAAAATAAATTACAAAGAAATAGTTCAGGTAGAATATAAATTTTCGAAACATTCTTGAATTATATTAAAAAATTTTCTTTTGACTTTTTGTTGTTTTTTTTTTTAATAGATGTAAATATGGATGAAAAAGTTCAATTAGAATCTTCACCAATATTAACAGATACATCTTTACGTCAGAAAAATGATTCAGAATCAATTGTACGTGGCATACTTAGTAATTCAATAAAATACAATCATGAAAAGCAACCCGGTTTGCATTCAAAGGAAATTTTTTTTTTTTTTGTTATAATTATTTCTTTTAAGGTGATTCATCTTCAACACTCATTAGACTTTTGAACGGTAATGGACATAATGCACAAAATGGAAATACAAGATCGTCAACAGTAACATCGCAATTTCAAATAAATCAAGCCAAAGTTTGAAAAAAAAAATATTACACATAGTTAATAATTATATTTATTTTTTAGTCAAATTCAACTCCACTTAGTCCAGAAATTTTGCATCAACAAGATTTTGATTTTTTAAAAAAATATAAATCAGGTTTGTTTTAATGAATGAAAATTAGATTTCTAATGATTTAGACTTAAGAATAGATAGTATAATTCCATAAGTGAGACTGATCTTTATCATGTCTGTCACAAGAAATTTATATGACAGTTTCAATCTACTTTATTTAATTGTAACTAATCAAAATCACGCATAAAGATTGTCAATTTAATTCGTTTTGAATATTGAATGACAAAGTTTTATTTTAATAAAGTGGAAGTGATGAGATTTTAGAAATCGATCAATTAAATAGGAAATTATTGAATGTCTAATGAAACAAAGTTTCCTGTGAAAAATCCTACCAAGAGAATATTTTTAAGTTTAAAACTTTTTAAAGTTATCTTAGTCTAGCAGTCTTCTCTATATATTTAAATGATTAATATGCAAATATTGACTCACTTAGAATGTATGTCTAAGCGATGGAACCTGTTGATGACCACCAATACCGAATTCATCTTCGGTTTCCCTTGTAAATCTCATTGTTGTATTTAAAAGAGAAAAAGGTTTATTGAGATTTTTCTTCGTCAGATAATAAATTATGTTTAATAAAAATGTCTTGAATTTTGAATATATTTGAATAGTACTTTTCAAAATTTGTTTCTTTATATAAATCTTTTGTTTCTAATATATCTCTAGCGAAAGCAAAATTAGAATCTCAATTAGAATCACTCCGAAGGCAAGATACAAATGATGGTACTCAAACGAATGATAAATCAAAACGAGTATAAAAATTTATAAAAAAAAAAAAAGAAACTCTAGCAGTTCTCTATGTGTTGTTTTTATTTTATCTAAAGTAGGATACAATATTAAATAAATTATCTCAATTAGAAAATATAAAAAATAAACATCTTGCACGTCGACATACTCAAAAACGACAAACATCTACAACTACAACAGCAATACCTGTTAATAATCCCGAACAAAAAGACTTTCTTAATAGTTTATTTTCATCGTCACCATCAACAACAGCAAAACCAATTGGATTATTACCTGTAGATAATAATAGTCCTATAACAACATCAATGCCATCACCGTTATCGTCATTATTTTCTTCACCAACTGATCAATCACCATATTATTCGTCGAATTTTCAAGATCAACGAAATTCGTCACAACAATTTGATTCTATACAAACTTCATCATATCTTGATATTAAACCTTCATTATTCGATGAATTTTTAACACCACCATCATCTTATACACCGGTTAATAATACTAATACTAATAATACTACTGCTACTAATAATAATAATAATAATAATTCATCGACATCTGTACATTCACATATGAATATTTCATATCAAGGAACAACAAACGATTTAACAGCCTCATCTTTTTCTACTAATCATCAACATAATACGACTTACCCTTATTAATGTACCATTCATGTACAGTTTTGTATTTCTTGATCAACTGTGATTTGTTTTGTTTTCCTTCTTCTTTCTTTTATTGTATTTGGGATAGTTATTTTTTTTCTTTTTTTTTTGGTTTTGTAACTGATTTGACAGTCACTTTGTTTGCTTCATTTTGTTGCTCAAAGAAGAAAAAAGAAAATAACTGTATTGTCCTACATAAGGATTGTCATTATATATATATATATGTAACATGTTATAAACATAGATGGAAAAAAAAAATAAAAAACAAAACAAAATAAAAAACATTTGAATGTTTAGTATTTTGTTTTTGTTTTCTTTTTGGTCTTTTATATGATTATCTATGTGCTGTTATTTTCTTTTTCTCGCAATAGATTTCATTTTGATGAACAGTGTTTTGTTAAACTTATTCGTCTTCTTTTTGTGTTAATGTACGTTTTTTTTTTCTTCTGTTGATTTTTAATGGACAGTATCAAACACATGAAACAACGAAAATTAAAACAAAGTCTATTTGTATTCTTATTTTGGATATCTTTATATAATTAATGTGAACGTGAGAATTACTCGAATTGATATACATTGTTTGAAATTAGATTTGCCCAACAAGAATGCTTTAAGTGAGAATAGAAAATGTTCAAAAAAGGATTTGTTCTCATTGAACTTTGCAATTAAGTTGTGATCGTTTTATTGATATTTTCGATTCAGTTTTAAATATATATTGAAAAGATTAAAAAAAAAGTAGAATTAGGATTGGTGGCTTTGCTTACAAATAGGTCGAATTACTCGTACAATATATTGAAATTCTCACCCGCAAAACAATGTGGTATTGCCTAGATATCAAATTTCCAAAAACATTAATCATATGCCACAAGCATAATACAAAAAACTGAGTTTACTTGGCAATGTAATAGTTGGATAGAAAAAAAGAATTCATTTTTTTCTGTTGAAACTTTCAAAATATTCTATGGATCATTAGACTTATTTGTGAATGCATTTTTACGTCGACATTCTGACTTTTGATTCTTCAGTGTATATTTCAAATGGAGTTGAAAATTTAGTAAAACGATCTTAGCTAAACTCTCTTAGACCTTTTTCTAATATTATCAAGGCGCCGTTGACGGATTGATGTAAGCTCAACTGGTGAGTATCAGTCCAAGTGGTTTCTTCCTCATTCATAGTTTATAGAACAAATAGGATCAAAACTTAGGATTTCAGATTACAAGAACCTTTTGACTTGCATGTAATTCTACGGAATAAGAAATTCATTTTTTGAAACAAACTTCACTTACAAATCGAAAACAAAAACAGGTAGAAAAATCTTAAACCAGATCATTCAAAATGTGTAAATATTTTATTAATTATAATTCTATATAGTTTTCATTACTTCAGAAAAGTTCCTAGGAGTTTCCTTTTATAATTACAACGAAATAGCTTATAAGACAATAAAGAAGTTCTCAATGCAGTCGTTGACAAAGATAATTGGAGAATCCAATGGAACTACTATTCTATAAATGATGTTTTAACAATGTATTCTTCCGTACATCCGGTGATAAAGACAAGACACTAATCTTAAATGTGCTCATAGCATATAGAAATAATCTTAACTTATTTATTCCATCACTCCCGATGACAAACAAACTTAACAGCATCCTCTTTTCTTTTACATAATACATTATAACAAATAGAAAATGTCTGTTACGGTCGAACTTTCTTATAACAAAATTTGATACTCATAACTAATCATATTTTCATAACAATTATACACGGTATTTATTCTTTATTCAATTTTAATAAAATAAAAATCAAAGCAGAGAAAAAAAACAAGATAATTTTATTATTTCGTTGTAATATAGATATGAGATAAAATGACATTCAAACAAAGAGCAAAGTGTTTGCGACCGATGAAGACTTGACAAGAGTCTAGTATTAGATAGACATTGCATTGTAGTAAGTAAATAATCAAATATTAACACATAGAACGATTTTTCATTTACCAGAAAAGAAAAAAAAATAGTGAGAGTAAATAGTAGATTTAAAAGAAAAAAAGTTATTCAAAGACTTCTCTATGTCGAATGTAACCTTGATTAGCCTTACTTTTGTTATTTTTCTTTTTACATCTTTTGATGTTTTGATAAAGAATATTTGTCAATACATATAAATAAATATATATTTATCAAAAGAAAAACAACAGAATAAACTACTATAATAGATGCACATACAAGTAAATTGAAACCATTTCTTTATCTGGATGATTTGATTAAAACGTATGTTTTTTTTATATCTCACTCAAAATTCAGACCACATCATTTTACTTATGCTCTATTTAAATATAAATTATTGACAACATATTTGTAAGTCTTGTGTTCGTCATTTTCATTTGAAACATTCACCGAATATTTTAAGGTTTGTTTGAATTTTCGAAATCAACATCAAATGAGAAGGTCATTTTGCTTGAAATCAGATAGTTACTAAGGATGTGTAATTAGTGCATACTGGTACCAGTGTTGACTGAAAGATGGAAATAAATCACTACAACAAGAACATATTTTGATAGAGTTAGTGTCTTTGTATTGTAGTGAATGTCAATGTCAGTGTAACCGGTACACTTCAGTGAACGCTGATGTCAGTGTAATTAGTACTCTAGTAGATTTTGTGTTGATAACTCACTGTCAGTATTTATACTCACCCTTCATATCATGGGCGGGCCGGCATAGGGGCGAGAGGGGGCAATTGCCCCCCTAAAAAAATTTTTTTGGCTGGGACTTAAGAAGAACGC